AGCCTCTCCTCACAGGAGAGGTGGCTCTCCTCCCTTCATCAGCATCTTGATTCTCCCCTGGACTCTCACAACTCTGTCCATGTAAGTTGTACCAGCGAGTCCAGAACTGTGCCCAGCGCTCCCAGTCACGGTTCACCAATGCTGAAGAAAGGCAATTACATTTTTTCAGTGCTAACAAGCCATTGCCTAATGCAGCTGGAGATAACATTAACTCTTCTTAGCAGTGGGGGTACACTGCTGGCTTACATTCAACTTTTTGTCCACCACAAAGGGCCCATCATCACAAAGCAGCTTTTCTCCCAGACAAATGCCAGCTTCAGCTGGAGCATGGTGTTGTTCCTTCCCTGTTGCAGGACTTCGCACCACCCCTTGTTACACTGCACAAGCTTCTTGTCTGCCCATTTGTGCCTCATCATCCTGACCATTAATTAAGATTATATTAATCAGGACGTCATTCAGCGCAGACCCCTGGGGTCCCTGCTTGTTCCCTGGCCTCCATGTCGACTTCGTGCCACTGATCACAATATCTAGCAGCAGAAAAGTCACATTAATCCCTTTTAATCAAAGTCAGTGCAGTTACACTGTGGAGCTAACAGGTTAGAGCCCAACACATTACAGGACAATCTACTTGCAATTTTTCAGATGACTCTGTTAAAGAAGACACAAAATGTTATTATCCAAATAGGAAATACAAGGGCACAGATTTTTTGTTTCCCAAAAGAAACCCAAGTTTCTTTGGGTTTTGGTGTTGTATTTTCTGTTTGTCCAATCTGTATTTGCTACCAGTAGGAGTGACAGACTGGTGAGGAGAATTAGCAAACACCTGAAGTGGAATTCTTCAGTTGACACCAGAAATTATTCCACACAGATACTCATGACTGATGTTGAACACAACGTAGTCATTTAAATGACAAGCTGTTACCATGATTCTTGCAGCCTTTCATCTAGAATGTCATTAGATCAGAACTTACACCACTGATACAGCCAACTCTAGAAATTTCCTTACCTTCCCCCCATCTATTTACCCATCACCTACACTGGAAATAAAACAAGAAACTTGCCAAAATACATGAAAAAGCTCCCCCAGACCTTCCAAATCACAGTCTTTTCAGTGTGGTCACATGAGCCACTGATCTTGTAGAATAGTACCAGCAGACACAGACACACAGCAGTAGTTTTACCACACTGGATTTGCACAAAGGTGTTGGCATTGTCACTCCTTCAAAGAAGCTGCTGAGCATCTGCATGAGAGGAAGGGATGAAAAGAACACATGGTTCTCACTGTCCTTACATACACATAGGGACTTCCTGTCCTTTTCATATCACCCAGAAAGAAGTCTAAGAACTGGCATCCAAATCCTTACTTCAACAACTCTAACATCCTAACTGAAAATACCCTGGAATTGTCATTTGCCTTTCCTTTGAAAAAAACTATTCTCTCTCCCTGCTGCTTCTCTTCAATATCTTAAATGATGATGCCCTGATATCAAACGCACATACTAAACAACACACCACACACAAACAGAATACAAGACTACAACAGCACAACATGAACAAATTATACATGCTTATCATGTGGAGAGGGTGGCGTGGAAGAGCCATCAGGGCTGTACAACATGCTTTGTTGGTATACAGAGACAGGCAAAGAGTGAGACCTCTGGTGGACTTGATAAAGGAAAATGTTAAATAATGAAAAATCTCAGTTTCATCAGAGGTATATTTTCAGTACATTCCCTTACCTGCAACAACCCCAAGAACCAAGTCTTTGCCAGTGGTTGAATGCTGACCTTTGACCCAGAGAGTTTTGAGACTATTAAAGGTATAAAAGTAAACAAAATTGGAGCAGCAAAGGCTGGAGATGACAGGGAACCACCCTCGATATGGTGCCAGCCTAGTGGAAGGAAAAAAGTTAAGATAAGAAGCCACGGTAAGGATCAGCAAAATATTCATCTGGGCAGGTTGATCTGACACGCTGAAGGCCCCAGGGATACAACACCATATACTACAGACAATAATAACCAGGCACGTCTTTATTATTATTGGTCAGAAATCGGACTGAACTCTTGAGTTCAAGGTGGGAGGAAGTTCTAGTAAACACCTTGCAGTAAAGTTTAGAGCAAATCAGTCAGGTGTGTGAGAAAAAGACATTATCTGCTTAAACTTAGCTATACTGATCACAGATGAAAAGCTGAGTCGACATTACATCCAAAGAAGCAAAGCGTTCTCAAAAAAGTGCACTATGAGACAAGACGAATAAAAGCTATGGTCAGCAAAGTGCTCACAACCTCACATCACTCTGTTAGGTTTCCTTTGGTTGGTTAGTTAGGTTTAAGGCTTTCTGTGTGAATCCAGACTTCCTTGAAACCACTACAGTCTGTGCACTGCTCAGCCAGGGTCTGTGGAGGAAGCACTGTTCCCCTCGT